ATTTTTAAATCTTTTTCTAATATTTATTTTTAAAAATTTAATATTATTTTTAAAATTTAATATTTTTTTTTCAAATATATAAATATATAAAGATATAAATGTATAAGGATATAAATAAATATATAAATATATAAAAATATAAAAATATAAATATATTAATATATAAATATATCAATATATAAATATATAAATATATAAATATATATAATATATATATATATATATATATATATATATATATATATATATATATATATACAAATATATCAATATATCAATATTATCCCCTCATATATTAATATACATTATGAGCATAATTTTAATTTAATTAAAAATTAGAATACAAATATACTATACTAAATATATCAATATATAAATATATCAATATATAAATATATCAATATTTAAATATATATTAAAATATATAAATATATTTTTATTTATAGATTTTATATTTATATATTTATACTGGATATACATTTATTTGTATATAAATATAATTTATTTGTAAGTTATTATTAAAAGATCCTAAGTAGCTCAGTGGTTGGAGTTTCAGTCTCCAACTCTAAGGTACCGGGTTCGAATCCTGATAATGACAATAATAGATCTAATAAAAATGTAAATAAATAAAAATAATTAAATTTGTTATTGATTAACTTTTTCATTGATTTAGTGACCGATTCAGTGACCGATTTGGTTATATATATTCGATCACCGATTCGATCACTAAAATCAGTGACCAATTCCAGTTGGTCACTATTTCGGTCACTATTTTAATTAGTAACCGATTTTGCACATTTAGTGACCGAATTTTCGGTCACTATTTGGTGTTTTTCTTGTAGTGTTTTACAGTCCCTTCGTCTTGGATCACTCTCAGATGTCTTAGTAGATTTGAAAGTCAGACCGCATGACACACACTCCAAGAGGCCGCCACATACTCGGCCTTGCAGGTTGACAGAGTTACAATGTGATGCTTCTTTGACAACCAAGTAAAAACTGTCTTTCCGAGTAGGAACACATAACCTGAAGTACTTTTCCGGTCATCAACATCACCACACTAATCACTATCCGAGTAACTCACTAGTCGGTAGTCATCCGATTTTGAATAGAAAATACCAAGTGATAAGGTTCCTCGAACATATATCAGAATTCTCTTTAAGGTCTTCCAATATGTGTAGCTTGGATTCTCCATGTATCTGCTTATTATCCCAACACTTAACATTAGGTCGAGTCTTGTGCTTGTAAGGTACCTCAGACTTCCGATTAAGCTTCGATATCTCTCAGAATCAGCTCGTTCTCCTCCATCAAACTTTGAGAGTTTAGTGTCTAGTCCATTGGAGTAGAAACCGGGTTGCAGCCCTACAATTTAAACTTGTTTAAAATTTCAAGCGTGTACCTCTCTTGGGATATAAAAATTCCTTCCTTTGACTGCTTCACTTCTAGGCCAAA